CAGCGAGGTGAGCCAGTTTAAAAGCCAGCTCCCCTCACAGACTAGCTGCCTGTCACCCAGTGCTGCTACCTCTGATAGAGACAACAGCCCCTCTCTGGGGCTTTAAATGAAGAGTCATAGCAGGGGCCCACCCAGGTCCTAATATACTTTAAATGAAGAGTCATAGCAGGGGTAGCTCCCAGACTCAGATTGAGCCCGGCTGCTGGCCAGTCTCCTAAAAAAAGGACTGGCAGGGGCAAGAGAGAGAAATGCATGTAATCTATAGAATTAACCTATAAGCTTTTGCTTATCCGTTAGTTGACTATACTATTACATCCCTAATGTCATTACCAGAATTAATGTCATTAACAGTTCACGGTAAAGGAATGAATGAACATAGATTCAATTAACATTGTTCTTGAATAAGACCTTAAGGCTATGTCTACACTGCAAGCGTCTTTCAAAAAAGAGGCTTTTTCGAATGATACTTTCGAAAAAGCCTCTTTTGAAAAAGAGCATCTCAACTAACTTTTTTCGAAAGAGCACCCAGGCAGTCTAGATGCTCTTTCAAAAAAAAAAAAAAAAAAAAAACCTTTTTTTGAAAGAGCACTTTCGAAAAAAGGCGTTCCTCGTAAAACGAGGTTTTCCGCGGTTAAAAAAAACCTGCCACGTTCTTTCGATTTACTTTCGAAAGAACATGGCATCAGTCTAAACACAGGAAGTTTTCAAAAAAAGGCCACTTTTTTCGAAAAAAACCTGTTGTCTAGATGCACCCTAAGTGTCTTCCTGATCTGTGGTTTAAGACGACTAAGGCTACCCACTTAATATACATGATCATGGCTAAAGTCTAATATGGTTAGTAATAGGTAACTTGTCTTCAGTGAGCAAAAGTAAGGTCTCAATCTATTTCCATACCAAACCCATTTTTACTCTTCAGCCTCACAACATTGTGATCTTTTAGGAATGCTTGGAAGTGTTTATTCTCTTCATTAACATCATAAGAATAGGTAGATTTACAGATGAACTCATTGTTATTGCACTATAATTAGAATATATCTTACCTGAAATTACTTTAGCTATATGATATAAGAGGTGGATGGAATTAATTCATAAGAAGCATTTTTTAACTCAACTGATGAATAGTTGCTAATTGGTTGGTTCATAAAAGATTTGACAGTTCAGGTTTTTTTTTTTAAAGAAAATTAATGCAAAGCTTCATGATGGGGTATGTCATCACTGTAAGGAGGTCTTGGAGTGGCGTGTAAAATTCAACAAATATAAACCACTGTCAAAGCCGAAGAAATGGTGAGTAAGCCAATACTTCACTGCTAATCACTGTGATTTTAAGTTTTTAGAGTGTATTTTTGGAAATTTCATGTAATGAAAGAGGTGATGTAATGCCTTTTATTGAGCTCCAAATTCTGTAGTCTAAAGTTTGAGAGAATTTACAACATCGGTGCTGACTTTTGTTTTTGTTGGGGGGTGTCCTTCTCCCAAGGCCCCACCCCCACTCTGCTGCCAAGGTCCCATCGCTATATCTTTTCCCACCCTCTCACTGTTCCATCTCCCAGTTCCCTTCCCCTCCCAAATTGAGAAGCTGCTCACCTCTCCCTAGCTTCAGACCCCTGGAGCCAGCCAACCTTGGAGACCTGTAGTTAGTCTAGATGGAGTTTCATCTTTTTAAGCATCTCCATGAGGGCCAAAACAAAGTGCAGTCCTACAGCATGTTGTTAATAGATTTTGTATTTGTTTAATTTAGTTACTTAGTATGATAAGTAACAACACAGATAAGTCAGGGATATAAGAGTTTAACTGGTTAACCGATAAGCTGATGCTTATCAGTTACTGTTGACTGTTAAATTGCGTGGGACTGCTGGTAGGCCCACAGGGCTGCCAGGGCTCCTGACCCTGTGGGACCTTGGTTAACCATGTAACCATTTTTATAGGTTACCATTCTTAATATTTGTATTCATTTTTACATCCCTAAAAGCACTGCTTTTTAGCATGTATTTTAGGAAGCTTAAAAATCATGCATTGTGACACTTTGGGGATCATGTCTGTGTCCAAATATGAATGCCTCTGTTTTATAACATTTACCTGTAACCTTCAGAATGGATTTAACTTTCATATTTGTATGGGAAAAAACAGACTGTCTGGAAACTAAACCGTGGCCATCAACACCGCTTGCCTCTAACTTTCATGTGGAACTAGATTTGATTTCTGACAACTTGTTGCCAGAAATCCCATACCAGGATTTTGCAGGCTGGAAATGCCCACCAAAATGACAGGACCTAAGAAAAATTGTCACTTTCTAAAATTGACATGCCCTTCAAACAAGGGGAGTCATGTCATTGCCTGAAGTTTCAGCAGAAAGAATGGGGGCAGGGAGTCCTGGCATCCTTTAAGGCCATGAACAAACCTAGGGACTCACAACAAGGATAAAACCACTCAAGGGGACTGTATTCAGAAGCTTTGTTTTCCTTAGCTCTAACTCCTGTGCTGTCTGGGTTAGAGATGTGAATGACTAGTTGACCATCTGATAAGCAAATGCTTATTGGATAGTTGACTAATTGGTTCCTCCCCGCCCCCCTCCCCCATTGCTGCCTCTATCAGAAAGAGGCAGTGGGGTGAGGGAGGAGGGGAGGAAGGAGTGCTTCCAAGTAGCAGCACCACATGGAGCCTGGAGCCAGACCCCGTGCTCTACACGGTGCTGCTGCTTTGAAATGCCACAAGCAGCCCAGGGCCAGCACCACGTGGAGCCTTGGGTCAGCTGGGAACTCCACCGGCCCTGTTCACCGCTGCCGCTTTGAAACACCATGTGCAGCCCAGAGCCAGTGGGAGACTTCGAGTCCCACACTGACCCTGTGCTCCCCGCAGCGCTTCTGCCTTTAAAGAGTAGCAAGGCGGAAGCGACCTTATCGACGAATCAAAATTTTACAGCCCTAGTCTGGGTAAAGTGCTTTTGTATGTGTACTTTGTATATTTGAGGAATTGCAAAGGAACTTATATTCCTTGCTTCTGTGTCGTGTGGTTCCCAGAGAATTAAACTATAATCCAGAATGCCTGTGGAAAACTACATAAGCTACTGAGATGTCCTGGGAGGTTCAGAATGGTCCTCAGAGTAGAGGAAATTTGGGATTTTGCAGTCTTCATGCCAAGGATTAATACCCAACACTAAATCTGCTTAGCTGCCCACCCTTTTGACACCAGCCATAGCAGCCAGCAGAGAAGCTGCCTGTATGTCTCTGCTAGCCCCAGTCTGGCTCCATCTGCCCTAGAAAAAGACTCCCCTGTTTGAAGTCTGAACCAGGCTGAGAGCTGAAGCCATCAGATATTAGGAAAACTGCTTCCAGCCAAACAGATGATACAGGATTTTGTATCAAAGAGCTGATTGGCCAGATGGAGAAAGCTGACTGGCTGCAGCATCTGGAATCAGCTGACAAGACTGCCTTTGCATTAATTGATTGGCTGCCAACAGCTGATTCTCCATAGATGCTAAGCACCCACTTTTCCCCCCCCCTGTGCAGGTACAATTGCAGGATTGGGCCAAAATCTGTATGTACTCTATTAGTTAAAATTACATATGTACTAGGGATGATATCGCATAGGACAGTGTTTCCCAATTTAATTTGGCTACAGAACCATTTTCATCTTAAAAGAATTTCAAGGAACCCTTAAGATTGCCAGGGTAATTTGTCAAGCAAAAGCCCTGCTGGAATTGGTAGAGTTAAAAAAAAAAGCCGTAAAATAGTTTGGAAGAGGGGCAGGGAAGTGCTGCATTCTCACGGAACCCTGACTTTAGTTTCATGGAACCCCGCGGAGCACCAGTTGGGAAACACTGCTGTAGTAGATTTACTGATACACAAAAGCTTATAGGTTAAATTCCCCCGCACTCTCCCCCCCAGTAAATTTTTTAGCAGGCTGGTCAACAGCCCGGCTCAGTTCTGGCTCATGCCAGGTCCAGGAACTCACCATCCTCCCACCCCACACATGGACTGCTGCCACCCCATGCTGCTGCTTCTGAATCAGAGGCAGCAGTGCAGGGTGACAGGCAGCCAGTCAGCGAGGCGACCCAGTTTTTAAACTGGCTCCATTCACGGCCCAGCTCCCGCCTGGCATCCTGCGCTGCTGCCTCTGGGGCTTCTTGGGAGCGGGACAGGAGCGCATTGGCTGCTGGTCCCACCCCCAGTACCTATAGAATAGTCGAGTAACTGACAAATAACTTAATATGTACTGGTTTTATTAACCAGATTAAATGAAATGGATGTTTTAAGAAGATTGTTGGTGGAAGTGAACTGTTTTCTATGTTATTTTGGGGAACATTTAAGATGTTAGTAACTGGGGTGGGGAAGAATGACTGTTTCAAAGGCAGAAAGAAGCATGAGGTGCTCAATTTTTTTGATAGAAATTATGCACTCTTGCCTATTGTTCCTTTGAGGGTTAACCCCTTAAGTGTCTGGAACTTTGTGTTTATACTTTGCAACAGCAGTATAAATTCAAGTCTAAACTTAAACAGTGATTACTATTTAGAAATCCAGTTGTAACTAGAAATACAGTTATGAACTATGAAAAAAAACCCTCAGATTTCTCTATTGTAGATCAGTATTTCCTGTTCATAACTTAAACTGTTGGAAAATACTACCCAACAAAACAGCACGCATGCATGCACACTTTATAATTCCTGTATAGTTACTGTCTTAATTGCAGATTTTGGCAGCTTGTACCATTTAATTTTTGGCGGGTGTTTCTTGGCCATTATTATGTTTTAATTCTGAAATGTTCATAATAGTCTCTTCCTAGAGTTCAAAATACTAAAACCACAGTAAAAATATCAATTACAAAAAAATCAAAAATACTAAAACCACAGTAAAAATATCAATTGCTTTGCAGTAACTTGAACAACAAAGGACTACTTGGTTACTAAGGCTGCTGGGTATATTTGATCAATTTGGGAAGACAAAACAAAAAAGAGAACATGAGTTGGCTTTCAAGTTTAACTTAATTTGTAGAACATTCCTAAAATGTGTCAGAATCAAAAATATTCCTGCTTAGAGTCCCTACTAAGCTAGCACTAGCTGTGCTCAGTGATGTGAAGAAGAGATCACCATAAAGGCCATAAGTAGTAAACAGGAACAGACCTAGGTTAAAGAGCTAAGTGACTCATCTCTAATTTTTTTTCAAAAAGAATTTACTATTCTTAAATTACCTTTAAACAGCAGCTTGAGTGGACTGAATTTTTATTTTATTTTATTTTATTTTTATTTTTTTTTTACAGCTCCTACCATCTTGTTCATGCTGTCTTGGTCACTGAATGTTTTCATTAAAAGTGACCTAGTGTTTGTGACAGTTCATCAGTCACAGCTCACTGGTGCTTGCCAGAAGCTGGATGCAAAAGACATTTATAAAATGTAAGCAACGAATCCCATGAAGCTTACATAGTTTCATTCCCAACTTCAAACTCAAACCAAGTTCTTCAGCTTTGCTAAGTTGATCTGTTCTGGTTTTATCAATATAGTTAAAAAAAGATTTAGGATTGCTTAATTTTGAAACAGCATTTCAAATAAAGATGCAGGGTGTCATATGAGGTACAGTATAACAAACACCAGAGTTACGAACTGACTGGTCAACCACAGGCTTCCTCACTTGGAACCAGAAAAATGCAGTTAGCAGCAGAAAGGAAAAAAGGAAGCACAGCATAGTATAGGGCTAAATTACTAAAAATATAAAGGGAAGTTTTTAAAAAAGTGACAAGGTAGAGAAGTTTTCTATGCTTTTTCCACTTAGATCAAGATGGTTAACATTTTTCTTCTGCATAGTAAAGTTTCAACACTGCATTAAGTCACTGTTAGAGGGGGTTTTCAAAAGTTTACAACCAATGTTTTGTTCAGAGTTATGAACAACCTCCCTTCCAAAGATATTTGTAATTGAGGTTTTATTGTAGTTTGGAAACCACACAAATAAAAACCAAAGAAAATGTTTCTACAAACAGTTGTTTGGTGTCTGGTGTGTGCTTGCAGTTTATAGTCTGTTCACTTGGGGTGCTGGGGGCTGAGTTTAGCAGCCTGATAGGTAATACTGAGAGCTTCCTGACAAGGCTCTAGCCTGTGATCCCTATCTCCCTAATCCCTCTAAAACCCTTTAATAAGGGGGCCAGGCTAACTAGGGAATTCAGACAGCCAGTGAGTGACCTTTGTGTTTTCTGTTGTGGACAAGGTGCTGAGAGTGTGTGTAATGATGTAAGATAATTAAAAAAAAAATTCCTTTGACTCATTCTGTGGCTAGTTCCATGAAGTCCAACCCTAGAAAGATTGAGCTCATTTAGCAGAGATTGGATATGCAGTCCTCAAAGCCAAAGGAGAAAAGGTCTGCCTAGGATACATATGAATGGAAGGCAAGTAGTAGATATACCCCACTTCTGCCCTCAGAGTAGGCATGCTCTAAAGAGCAAGTTTAGGATTCATTTAAGACTATGGTAGTTGCTCTTCTACTTGCTCTGTTGCTGAACTGAGTCAGTGAGAGCAGTTCCCCCTGCAAGACTAAAAGTACCAGTAGTGGCTGATCTGGACAATTGGTTAGTTCCCAAAGCTTTCTTATGGTCTGTCTGGTCTCAGTAGTAGTTTAATTTTAAAAATTATTTTCATTTTGAGAAAAAATTTGGTGCTATAAAAAAATCACTTTAATTTTTGAAGATAAATAGCCAGCTTGATCAAAACTGGGGATGTTAGGAGGCATGTAAATCGGTAATTGTGTAGCCGAGAAAAACAATAGATAAGCTTCTCTGTATTTAAAGGATTTTGAGAATCAGCAGGCAGGCATGCTGGCTCAGTCCTGGGTCCCAACAGCTACCCCCACTGCAGATCTGCATTTAAAGGATTTATAATCTGTTCTGTTAAATGCAGAGGCATGGTGGGGTAGTTGATGGAATGCAGTCAAAGCCTTTAAACGCAGAGCCACAGTGGAGCAGCTGCCAGGAGCTGGTTTGAGCCGGGACTGAGCCAGCATGCCTGCCTGCCAGTCCCCAAGATACTTTTAACTTCAGAGCCACAGGTGGGAAGGGAATGTGACTAGCCAATAGCAACCAGTAAGCATCTGCTTATTGGTTAATTGTTTAATCAACTACATTATTACATCCCTAATCAAAATCTGAAGTTTGGAGTTCAAATCAGATTCTTTAAAAAAAATTCACTTAAGTGTTTAGAAAACAGTTTGTCAATAACAGGATTACCAGAAACTGAAGCACTCAAACAGTACATGAAGACATATATTGTCAGAGAGTTGTCCTGCTAGGATTCCTGTGCACTTCTGTGTTCTGAGGAGTGTGACATCCATGAATCACTGTCTTTGAAGCAGTGTAGTCTAAAGTAAGGAGAGACTGGGAAGGGAGTTGTGGTAGTAGGGATGTAAGCAACTAGTCGACTACCAATGAGCATATGCTTATCTGGTAGTTGAGTAGTGACTCGACTAGTCACTCCTCCTCCCTCCCTTGCTGCCTCTATCAGATAAGGAGCCTCTGCTGCCTCTATCACTCCTCCTCTCTTTCCCCTCCCTCCTTCTTGCTGCTTCTCTCAGCAGGAGCCTATGCAGAGGGGAGCCAGATCCCAGGACTGTTTTCAGTCTTTGCTCTGTTAACTCTTGCTTTGCTTACTCTTTGAAACTAGCAGTGTGGAATGTGAATGAAAGTTGTGGTTTAAAAATGTTCCCTTTTCCCC